AACTCCCCCGTAATTCTGGCCGGGAACCTGCTCAAAATCCCGAGATCACAACTAGCAGCTTGAAAAATGTTAGAATAATAAGCCATAATCTCTGCATTCAACTCCCCCCCTTCGACCCAAACACCAGACTGGCCACGCAATTGCAATAACTGATTACACTTCCTCCTATGACTTGCAAAATGGTGGAAATATTTCGTGTTTAGATACCCTTCCTGCAACCACAATTGTTTTAACCGTTGACGCCAGTATAATTCCTCATGCGCCAATACGGTACTAAGCTCAGCATCAAGCCTAAGGAACAAGCCAACATCCCCCGCAGCCAAACTGCCCCGTAAAGCCTCCATTTTATCCCGTAACTGTTGGACTCTCCTGCCAAACCGCCGAAAATGTTCATTACCCCAACGCCACAGACTCTGTCCGCAGACATCTTTACGATCCAGGAAGCTCAAGTTCGAAGTCCGACGCCAAGAAGATTCTACCACATCCTTGCATTTAACGTCTAGAAGCCATGCAGACTCGAACCGGAAAACTCGGGAAGATCTTCTAATAGCAATCGCCTTCGGATCCAGATAAAGGGCGCTGTGATCCGAGGAGTTAGCTAGCATATTCAACATTGTAGCCGAAGAATAAATCTCACACCATTCCGGCGTGGCCAAAACTTGGTCAAGACGTTCCTCCATCCAATTAACAGTACCTCTTCCCTTTACCCAAGTAAACCGGTGACCAACCATCCCCAAATCAAACAAATCACAGTCTTGTAATGCCGTGTTAAAACCCGCAATAAGCCCATTCGAATGTGGTGCTCCACCCCTTTTCTCATCATGGCTGGCTATGTTATTTAGGTCCCTTATCACCACCCAAGGCAGACTAGACCATGTTTTTAATTCACGCAGCAATGCCCATGAAAGATGATGATGTGATCTTACTGAGTGGCCATAAAAACAAGTTAAACGCCACGGGGGCTCACCTGGCAACGACACCGCGACGTCAATATGATTATCAGAATACCCAATTAAAGTGGCCATATCAGAATCCCTCCAAAGTAGAGCTAAACCCCCTCCCAAACCATTTCTTTCCACTACAAACAAACCATCGAACCCCATGCGTACTCGTAAACTCTCCAACTTACTCGTTTGCGCCTTCGTTTCCATGAGAAAAACAAAGTTGGGTCGCTTGTAGGCCACGAAGCCTAATAATTCTCGAACTGTACGGGTGCCACCCAACCCCCTACAGTTCCAACTGATCGTGCTCATTGATGAGGGCGGGCTTGGCCTTCCAAACCCGCCGCTTCCAAGTTTTTTGATGTGTCCACCATCCTTACATCAGGCTCATCTTGATGACCGCCACTAGTGTCCTCCTCCCTCCTGCGTTTATGTTCACCATGCAAGACCACCGACTGCTCCTCCATAACCGGATTCACAGTTGGAATGGCCGGCGTATTTGGCACACAAACTGGCCGGTCGGGGAAATCCGCAAGAATCCATCGAGCACCCACCGGTTTCACTTGTCGCCTGCCCCCAACCCTTAACCAGGCTCCATACGGGTAATCACTAGAGAGGATATCATCCTCCGTTGCTTTGCGACAAAACTTCTCTGAATGACCGATGAGGCCACAGCAAAAACAAAAGGTGGTCAACCTTTCATATCTGAAGTTGACCCACTGGAAGGCATCATTAGCCAACTTCAATTTCATACGGCGACGTAGCGGAACGTGGACATCGAGCGTAACCCTAATCTGATGATAACTCCTCCAATTACCCCCAAAATTATTGGCATCAATCATGACAAACTTCCCCACATAATTCCCAATGCTTTCTATGAAATCTGCGGACGCAAATTAAACCGGTTCGGGAGATCATGGATTTGAACCCATAGATCTACCATACCCAAACTTACGGCCTCAGGCCGTACCCCCGGCGGCACCTGCTTGATTGCTAAGATTTGATTTTCATAGGACCACGGCCCATCATCCAACACTCGTTGCATATCCCGCTTGCTCAGAAACTGGCAAACGAACAAATTATGGTCTAACGGCACGAACTTCACCCCCATCAAAGGTTTCCATACGGACGCGAAAACCTGTTCCATATGATCATACTTGACATCCCGATCCGTTACCAACCGGCCAACCAGTTCAAAATATGTGACACTACTGCTTCCCGGATCTACAGTCGGAGCCGCCAGCCCCCTTCATCCTCCTCATGCAACGATAACAATGCACAATCATCTGATAACCCACGCACATCCATTGCTAACGCAAACCTGAACACGAGGCAAACACCGGCGTACCAAAGAACCCAAAAACCCCAGAAACCCTAGGGAGAAAAAACTGTTAAGCCAATATGTGGCTAGTATTTCTTTAGTTGTTATTTATTCTATTTGTGCTCCTATAGACTAGTTGTATTTGGTTGTAACTTCCTGCTATCTTCACTCCTCCATGTACTATATATAGGATGTGCTTTACATCAATAATTACACAGTTAATCTCTTCACATGGTATACACTGATTCAGATTGGGGTGGACCGTCCACTGAGGGCCGTTCCACTACCGCATATGTAACACCCCGTGTTACGGCCTTCAATCCCGGATTAATTATTAAATTAATCCCATTAATAATAATTAAATATGATTTAATTCGGTTAGGTTTCCGTCCACCATGAACCGTGGACCCTTGCCTAAATTAGAGTCCTAAGCCTATTAGGAATAAAGAAAGTAAACCCTTTACTATTCAGATTCTAATTAGGAATCCTAGACCTAGTTATCTATTAGGAATAAAGGAAGTAGGCCTTTTACTATTCAGACTACGATTAGGATTCCCTTTAATTAATTAATATGGTCCACTATGGACCATGGACCCTTATCCCTAAACCCAATCCTTAGTTCCAAAAGGAATAGAATTAGCAAGCCTATAATATTAGTTCCTAACCAGGACTCCTAAATATATAAATAGGGGACTTAAGAGGCACCTAGAACCCCCCACCACAATAAACGTTCCACCACCCCAAAGTGCTCCAAGAATCCCCTTAGAAGAAATCAAGAAAGCAAGAAAGCTTAAAGAAAGACCCTTCAGAGCCAAGGAATTAATTAAGGCTAAGAGGTAACCCATGTCTCAACAAAACCTATTTTCATAGCTATGATTCCCCCTTAGGGTTTCCCCATATTATTGTGTATTAATGGTTTGTGATGATTATTATTGATGATTGATATGATGATCCCATGAGGGATCTTGATAATCTTGATATTGGGAGATTCTTGATGATTATATGGAGTTCTTGATGATTATGTGTTGTTCTTGATAATTGTGTGATGTTCTTGATGTTTATGTGTTATTCTTACCGAATCTTGGAATTAGAAGACGAACCGTATTCTTGTTGATATAAAAGTGATTAGAACCCTAGGTTGTATCGTAAGATCTTATTCTTGGATTATCGGGTGGGGGAAATCGCATGTTTGGGTGTTGATTATATTTTGAAAAGCATGATAGGTTATGTGCCGTTCGTTTCTTGTATTTGATTCGTTAATTGTCTACGTGTTGTCGTTAATTGCGTTGTAAAGTGTCTAAGCATGGTTTCGGGTTCCACATCGGTTCCCGGGGCGAAAAGTGTTGAAAAGAGTCAGTGGGGGGTAGGTGGGGGTAGGGGACCCGCCACCTACCCGCGGCATTCACGGGCAGCTCCGGCAGCGGGCAGCCGGCGGGCGGGCAGCTGCCCGCCGGGCACCCGCTGCCCGGAACAGTGTTACCGGCGGGCAGCTGGCGGGTGGACCCCCACCCACCGGCTACCCGCTGGAATTTCCCCCCCCTCGGGACCCCGGCTTCCCCGTTTGATGTTTCCCCGATCCCTGTGGTGTCCCAACGGACCCCGTTTGTCGTGCCTATGTCTAGTTTGATATTTCGGGTACCGTTCGTAGGTTTATGAGTCTATTATATTGCATGCTAATTTAATTGGTATCTCGTTGACCTAGGTGGAAGAAGTATGAACCCCTTAGGACTACTCCTAGTACGTGATGGATCACGCATAAGGTTGTTATACGCTTTATCCCCCTTCCCAATGTGTAATGTGGGTTGCATGTGCTTGCTATGTGTTATGTGTGCGTGTTACCCCAATTCGGTTGCGATCGGATTGGTTATCCTGAGCTGCGGTTCAGAAGCCGGCTATGGTCAGATGGGAATTCCTGGCTGTAGTCGGATGACGGTATCCTGGGCTGCGGTCCAGAAGCTGGTTGTTGTCAGATGGGAATTCCTGGCTGCAATCAGGTGACATCTTTCCTGAGCTGCGGTTCAGAGGCTGGCTGTAGTCAGATGGGAATTCCTGGCTACAGTCAGATGACATACTCTCTTGGGCTGCGGTCCACTGTTTGGTTGCGATCAAACATTATGATGAGCTGCAGTTCATCGGTCGGTTGCGATCGGCCTCCCCGTGTTGCGATACGGGGCATGGTGCTGTGGGGCCGTGTCAGAGCTATATGCGCTGACCCGCATGTATGGGCATGCAAGTGGTCCTGTGGCGCCAACAACATGCGTTATGTGTTGTGATATGGACGAGTTGTGATTAGGAGTGTCTTGGGGGATGTGACTATGGGATTTGTATTGGGGATTATTCATGTTGGGTTATGATCATTGTTTATGCTTTGCCTTATTTGCCTTATCTGTTATGAACTGCTTATGACTGTTATAACTGTTGCTTGTGTCTGGCCTTATCTGTCGAGTCATTCCCGGTTTTAAAGCTAGAGTTCGTAGGATATATCTTCATGCTCAAAATGGTTTTCGTATATCTATATATATCTCTATATGTATTGTATTTCAACGCGTTGGAGTGGGTTACCAGCATCTCTCGCTGAACAGATATATTTGGCTTTCAGGCACAGAATAATAAGTCACTGGAGAGCGCTAGTACTCGGAACGTAGAAGTAGTTGGTCCCCTTTCGGCCTGCGTGCCATATTATGCATTTACATTATTGAGGATATTAGTTAGTTAGCCTGTGCACCTGGGTTCTCCAGCTCAGGTGTGGCATAGCACCCCGTACACTTGTATTATGTTTTGGGATTTAATGAGATAATACCTTTATTTTATAAGTTTTAAATGTCTTGAAAATCTGGGGTGTTACAGTTGGTATCAGAGCTTAAGTTTGACCCTAGGATAAGACTCTTAAGACCGGACTCTTGGACACTAGGCTTGAACTCTAGGAACTTAGGAACATAGGATCCAGGAATCTTAGGACGCGCAGTGAGATTGTGAAACCTACACATAACCTCCCCTCACTTCATCCCTCTCTAACTTAAAGGAACCTCCCCCTATGCTTACCACACCAGGTAAGGGTGCGAATAGATAAGTTTACTTCCACAACTGGGTAACGTACACTTACCCGATAAATCGCCTCGCCCTAACTCCCGTCAAAAGACTTGACAAGGACCCTGACCAAAGAAAAGGAAGATTTGGATGACTACTAAGAAGAGGCGTTACAGTCAGGACTGCTAAAAGGGACGGACTGCAATACGCACCAACCCAGGGTAACCACGGTAACCCCCGAGTCAGACAAATGACATGCACCTTCCGACAAGTTGCCTTATCTCGGCAAACCCGGGTTGCGGCTACAACAAACAGGAAGGAAAACTAGGACACCTATTAAAGTAGCGAAGGAACGACACCATTAGTCGAATCCTTGGGTGCAAGGTAAGTATATCGCGACACCTTGCGACCCCACCACCCCAATTTAAAATATCATCCGCCCTGAAACCCCAGCATCTTGATACCCCTATTTGTTGAAAACTCCCACCCCGAATCCTTAATTACCTTAAGAGCAAATTCGCAACCGTCATGACCTTGCTCACCCATTGTGGCGCTTAACCCAAACCCTCGGAAACCCTAAATTGTTATTGCCCTTGCTCTAAGTTCATATCCCCACTCCGTTTGGAAACCCTGTTAAAAACCGTAGAGCAGCATAAGGCCCTTACCCTACCCAGGGGCGTGAAGAACCGACATTCATTGATTCAATATTAAAATAAGTTGTTAGATAGGAATCGGCGAAGTAGGTGGAGGTTACGATTACGTATCACCCCACCCTTGCACAAAAACCGTGAAGGCTTCACGAGAAACCATAGCCTGTACGTACGCCACCAAAGAACGCCATGCGTTGACAAGAGCGGGCAAAACAAATACGTTCAATGTGTCAGGGGCCCTCGCTACAGAAAACATCGTCAAATAGGTGCAACAGGCCGAACCTCGAGGAGGACATAAATCCTTGCTAAGAATTTCATCCACCAAGGAAGGGATGAAACCCAAATAGAACAAGAAAGACTAACCCGAAACCCCCTTACCCTTAAGAACCCTCGGCAAGGATTAGGAGTCAAGACCTAGGGGTTTGACCCACTAAACCGACTGGGTCCAGACTTCTGGACATCCGAGGGGAACGTGCATGGAAACCATCACGAGAATTCTCCTGGAAGCCATAGAAACGAAGGGGACTTCGACACGGGAAGAGAAGATCAAACGAAAATCTTAGAATCAAACAAAGCCAAGGAAAAGGGATCACCAGTTCGACTGCATGCCACAACCAAGCCCCAAACAGGCATAATCACTCGAAGCCAAGAGTCCTTAGCCCCTTTCCCTCCCCTTGCCAATCAAGTACCATTTCGTTAAAGAATCCGTCCTATCACTCCAAACCTCGCTCTTGATCCCTCATTACAGACAAACCCATACAAGGTGGCAACCTTCCTTCCTGTATTACGACCTTGAGACATCGACCATATCCGCCCCTCGACTTTGAAACCTAGCCCTTGCACTTCTTACACCCCTTTAAACCCAGACCAAGAAAACATAGATATATATATATGTATGTATATCTACCTCTAGAACTCGTGCTTAAGGATCAATGAACATTGTACGATGGGTCATCCTATGTATCCAAATCCCTTTTATTGTGCACAAGGGCATGGGACTTGTCAGGACATGAATCTGTGCATTTTTGGGGTCTTTCCCGAAGGAATTGACTATTCCTAGTCACTTTCCCGCGGGTCCCCAACGGGTCCTTGACGGGACCTTGGCGGGTCCTTGGTAGGAGCTTGGCAGGCGGACGACCGCCCACCTCGCGCCCACTGGTACAATGTGCTGATTTCTTAACCCCTCATTTTATTGATTTGTGGTGCACTTGTGTGCCTCGATTGAGGAATGTGAGTCTTGGGTAAGGAACCATGGACCCCCCAAACATAGTGTCCTACGTAAATGACCTTGACGCACGAGACACCATCGGGAAATCACAATCAATTACATTGCACGAGTAATTGAAATCGGATCCTACGATACAACCGACTAGGGATGTTTGGCGTAAAGGATTGCGCAAACCAAGGAGGCGAGTTGGGAACTCGTACTAAGAACCCACGAAAACCTTAAAAGTCAAAATGCTAAGGAGGGACCGGGACTCCTCCAAACCATGGACATCGTTCGAGCAAATCAGAGGACTCCTTACAAGTTGTATGGAATCAAGAACTACGTAGCCCATGGTGCTAAGAAAAAGGGTGAAGAACACATTCGCGCCAAGACTTCAAGGGTCATTAAGGACCCACAAGGAAATGAGGTGACTCGTAAAGTCGCCGAGTCATCCCACAACGAGATTTGGTAACCGACTGCACTTTAAAAGAAAAAGGACACGCAAGGACACCTTCATCATTAAAAATAACACAAACAAGGCACAACAATGCCGAACCTCGGGTAAGACATGAAGTCTTACTAAGAATTTCATCCACAAAAGAGGAGATGAAATTCAATAAGAAGAGAAATTCAACCCAAAGTCCATCGACTCCCAAGAGACTTTGAGAAGAATTTGGGAAGTACGCCCTAAGAGATTGGCTTGGTTGACCCAACTCGGTCAAGACCTTGGGCGCATTAAAGAAGTAAGTGTTGAATCACCACGGGAAATTCCCTCAAGAAAGAAGAGAAGGATGAAACCTTAGCCTGGGAAGCAAGGTCTAAACAAGGATCTTAAAGTCAAGCAAGCACCAACACCAAGGAAGGAGGATCATCAGCTCGTTGGCGCATCGTGATCAAAGCATCTAACCAGATTATTCACTTGGGATCGAGAAACCTTAACCCATCCTAGCCGAATTCCTTTTCCTCCCTCGGAAAATCGGCCCCTTCCTTATTTCAAAACCCTTTCTACCCTTCAGACCCCATTCTCAATCCCATGTTTTAACGATTCCATACAAGTGGCAACCTCACAACCTAAGTTGCAACCTCGAAAACTTGATCCTAATTCCTGAATTCACCGTGTCCTCAAGTTTGAAACCCACTCTCTTAGCCCTGTAAAATCTAATCGCTCCCAAAAACCCAACACACATAGGCATTCAAGTATACAATTTCCCCGTGGAATACCTTCTCTACAGGACCACGGTTCTTCTCTTGACTCGTTAACCCTGCAATGATTTCCAAGCTTCGGGGACGAAGCTTCTCGTAAGGGGGGGAGAGTGTAACACCCCGTGTTACGGCCTTCAATCCTGGATTAATTATTAAATTAATCCCATTAATAATAATTAAATATGATTTAATTCGGTTAGGTTTCCGTCCACCATGAACCGTGGACCCTTGCCTAAATTAGAGTCCTAAGCCTATTAGGAATAAAGAAAGTAAACCCTTTACTATTCAGATTCTAATTAGGAATCCTAGACCTAGTTATCTATTAGGAATAAAGGAAGTAGGCCTTTTATTATTCAGACTACGATTAGGATTCCCTTTAATTAATTAATATGGTCCACTATGGACCATGGACCCTTATCCCTAAACCCAATCCTTAGTTCCAAAAGGAATAGAATTAGCAAGCCTATAATATTAGTTCCTAACCAGGACTCCTAAATATATAAATAGGGGACTTAAGAGGCACCTAGAACCCCCCACCACAATAAACGTTCCACCACCCCAAAGTGCTCCAAGAATCCCCTTAGAAGAAATCAAGAAAGCAAGAAAGCTTAAAGAAAGACCCTTCATAGCCAAGGAATTAATTAAGGCTAAGAGGTAACCCATGTCTCAACAAAACCTATTTTCATAGCTATGATTCCCCCTTAGGGTTTCCCCATATTATTGTGTATTAATGGTTTGTGATGATTATTATTGATGATTGATATGATGATCCCATGAGGGATCTTGATAATCTTGATATTGGGAGATTCTTGATGATTATATGGAGTTCTTGATGATTATGTGTTGTTCTTGATAATTGTGTGATGTTCTTGATGTTTATGTGTTATTCTTACCGAATCTTGCAATTAGAAGACGAACCGTATTCTTGTTGATATAAAAGTGATTAGAACCCTAGGTTGTATCGTATGATCTTATTCTTGGATTATCGGGTGGGGGAAATCGCATGTTTGGGTGTTGATTATATTTAGAAAAGCATGATAGGTTATGTGCCGTTCGTTTCTTGTATTTGATTCGTTAATTGTCTACGTGTTGTCGTTAATTGCGTTGTAAAGTGTCTAAGAATGGTTTCGGGTTCCACATCGGTTCCCGGGGCGAAAAGTGTTGAAAAGAGTCAGTGGGGGGTAGGTGGGGGTAAGGGACCCGCCACCTACCCGCGGCATTCACGGGCAGCTCCGGCAGCGGGCAGCCGGCGGGTGGACCCCCACCCACCGGCTACCCGCTGGAATTTCCCCCCCCTCGGGACCCCGGCTTCCCCGTTTGATGTTTCCCCGATCCCTGTGGTGTCCCAACGGACCCCGTTTGTCGTGCCTATGTCTAGTTTGATATTTCGGGTACCGTTCGTAGGTTTATGAGTCTATTATATTGCATGCTAGTTGAATTGGTATCCCGTTGACCTAGGTGGAAGAAGTATGAACCCCTTAGGACTACTCCTAGTACGTGATGGATCACGCATAAGGTTGTTATACGCTTTATCCCCCTTCCCAATGTGTAATGTGGGTTGCATGTGCTTGCTATGTGTTATGTGTGCGTGTTACCCCAATTCGGTTGCGATCGGATTGGTTATCCTGAGCTGCGGTTCAGAAGCCGGCTATGGTCAGATGGGAATTCCTGGCTGTAGTCGGATGACGATATCCTGGGCTGCGGTCCAGAAGCTGGTTGTAGTCAGATGGGAATTCCTGGCTACAATCAGGTGACATCTTTCCTGAGCTGCGGTTCAGAGGCTGGCTGTAGTCAGATGGGAATTCCTGGCTACAGTCAGATGACATACTCTCTTGGGCTGCGGTCCACTGTTTGGTTGCGATCAAACATTATGATGAGCTGCGGTTCATCGGTCGGTTGCGATCGGCCTCCCCGTGTTGCGATACGGGGCATGGTGCTGTGGGGCCGTGTCAGAGCTATATGCGCTGACCCGCATGTATGGGCATGCAAGTGGTCCTGTGGCGCCAACAACGTGCGTTATGTGTTGTGATATGGACAAGTTGTGATTAGGAGTGTCTTGGGGGATGTGACTATGGGATTTATATTGGGGATTATTCATGTTGGGTTATGATCATTGTTTATGCTTTGCCTTATTTGCCTTATCTGTTATGAACTGCTTATGACTGTTATAACTGTTCCTTGTGTCTGGCCTTATCTGTCGAGTCATTCCCGGTTTTAAAGCTAGAGTTCGTAGGATATATCTTCATGCTCAAAATGGTTTTCGTATATCTATATATATCTCTATATGTATTGTATTTCAACGCGTTGGAGTGGGTTACCAGCATCTCTCGCTGAACAGATATATTTGGCTTTCAGGCACAGAATAATAAGTCACTGGAGAGCGCTAGTACTCGGAACGTAGAAGTAGTTGGTCCCCTTTCGGCCTGCGTGCCATATTATGCATTTACATTATTGAGGATATTAGTTAGTTAGCCTGTGCACCTGGGTTCTCCAGCTCAGGTGTGGCATAGCACCTCGTACACTTGTATTATGTTTTGGGATTTAATGAGATAATACCTTTATTTTATAAGTTTTAAATGTCTTGAAAATCTGGGGTGTTACAGCATATCTGGTGTACCTAGGCAATAATCTAATCTCTTGGAAGTCTACGCGTCAGAAGTCTGTCTCGCGATCGTCCACGGAGGCGGAGTATCGGGCCTTGGCGAATGCAGCAGCTGAGGTCCTCTGGGTCAAAAATCTGTTGCAAGAGTTGAAATTGGGGCTGGTTGAGCCTCCGGTCCTGTTTTGTGACAACTTGAGCGCCACGTACGTTTGCAAGAATCCCGTGTTTCATTCCCGCATGAAGCATCTCGCCTTGGATTACTACTTTGTCCGGGATTTGGTTGCAAATGGTACGCTAGTTGTGCGGCACGTTTCGTCTTCAGCTCAACTAGCTGATCTTCTTACTAAGTCACTGGGTCGTCGCCTTTTTCTTCAACTTCGGTCCAAGATTGGAGTCTCCAACGGATCCTCCATCTTGCGGGGGCGTGTTAAGCCAATATGTGGCTAGTATTTCTTTAGTTGTTATTTATTCTATTTGTGCTCCTATAGACTAGTTGTATTTGGTTGTAACTTCCTGCTATCTTCACTCCTCCATGTACTATATATAGGATGTGCTTTACATCAATAATTACACAGTTAATCTCTTCACAAAACCCTCTAGAAAAGCCTAGAGAGAGAGATCCGCATTTTCTTATAATAACTTTTATATAATATACTTCTGTTCTATTATATATTATATTTACTTAAAACTAATACTTATTTGTTGTGGGCATTGGATATTGATGACGATTTGTTCTCAATTAATCAATTATATGAAACTAGTACTCCACCCGTGCGATGCACGGCTAAAATAAAATAAAAAAAATAGTATATATATATATATATATATATATATATATATATGTGTGTGTGTGTGTGTGTGTGTGTGTGTGTGTGTGTGTGTGTGTGTGTATGTATGTATGTATGTATTCAATTATTTATTTATTAGTTTATTAGTAATAGTAATATAAAAATTATATTGGCATCTCGAAAAGTATGTAAAATATAACTTCATATTGCATAGGTAACAAATAATTAATAATATACAAATTTTATAAATTGTTAAAGACCGCTTTGTATACAACATTCGACGTTGAAGAAACATACTCTCCATTGTCGCTACAAATAAGTAACTTAAGACCATTCAGATTACTAACCCTAGACAAAGCAACATATAATTGTCCGTGAACAAAGACTGGTTGTTTCAACAAAAGTCCAACTGTAGACAATGTTTGGCCTTGACTCTTGTTTATTGTCATAGCATAAGACAACATAAGTGGGAATTTCCTTCGTTGGAATTTAAATGGTAGCCTAGTATCTGACGGTGTAAGAGACAATCGTGGGATCAAGACTTGTTCACCTGCATTACCACCAAAAAGAATCTTGGCTTCAACAACATGATCTGCTAATTTAGAAATAATTAATCTTGTCCCATTGCAAAGGCCAGCTGAATGGTCGATGTTTCGCAGTAGCATGACTGGAGATCCAACTTTAAGAGTGAGCGAATGGTTTGGCAAACCCGAGCATTTCAGGCCATTTAACAATTCTGGAGTATGCAATGCAGCTACCGTATCAGACGTGTTTTTAGTGGGGCATACCGAATCGGAGCTAAGATAGGTTCTAGATGTAGCATCATTCAAAGTACTCATGTAGTCATTAACTTCATCAACAACCTCGAGTGTTGGCGCTAAAATTGCTCGACCAATTAGATAATCCCCGTTGTTTTGATTTTCTTGAAACATAGGGAATGTACTTTTAACAATAGCTTTAATAGGATCACAATCTGGTTTAAGCACATGTTTTTCGGGAATTTGGACATCCACATGACCATCATTTGTGCCACCGATGTCGCCATCACCAATTGCAGCTATCCAATTAGCTAATGAACTAAGCTCTTCCACATCCTGAACAGAACCCACATTTTGCAACCTCAAATTCTTTGTCAATCTCAATACCCTACAATTAGCCCACAAATAAGAAGAATTAATGGTTGCACCAACAATTTCTTGCCTAGAACCCTTTGGTAGCACTGGTAATATTTGTCTAAAGTCACCTCCTAAAACAACTGTTTTCCCGCCGAACGGCAACGATGAACTCAATGGATTAACAAATCGTAACAAATCTTGCATTATTCTGTCTAAAGCTTCGAAGCAATGTTTATGCATCATAGGTGCTTCATCCCAAATAATCAAGTTACATTGAATGAGTAGCTCAGCAAGATCGGATCCCTGTGAAATATTGCAAGTAGAGTCCTCATTCACAACAATTGGTATAGCAAAGCGTGAATGTGCAGTACGACCGCCGGGCATCAACAACGAAGCAATGCCGCTTGATGCAACATTCAGAACGATCTTTCGTTCAGAGCGCAAAGCAGCTGATAAAGTTTGCCACACAAATGTTTTCCCAGTACCACCGTAACCGTAGACAAAAAAAAAAAAAAAAAAAAAAAAAAAAAAAACCCTGTAGCATTACCAGTCGACGATAGAACAGTGTCATAAACAAAGCGTTGCTCGACTGTCAACCGCTGGACTAAAAGTTCATGTTCCTTTGCTAACAATGCATAATCATAAGATAATTCTTCAGGCAATAATCGATTTTGAGAGACGTACAAAGAAGTCATGTCTGGCACAGGCATACATGGGTAATCACTCAAACTCTTGCTCCATGTTGACAAAAGTTTCTTAAACTCTATCAAGCCATACATTTTCTTCTCTTTTTCCGACAACATTAAGTCTGCACATCATTTACATTTTTTTACATTTACAATAATTACTATATAACTTTATAAGCTGAAAATTGCAAAATAATATACATATATATATATATATATATATATATATATATATATATATATATATATATATATATATATAACAACATTTTACCTGGATTAGCAAATGATTTACGTTGATTATACTTGGCATCCTCACATAGCAGCCAAACAACATCACATACTTTTTCAGGTTGACAAAGTGAATTTGCCGTTAGTAAAGTTACAAATAATCTCCTAAGAGCTGCAGCAGTCTACCATTGACTTGCTTCAACTATCGCATCAATATATTCTTTTTCATCAAAAATCAATCCACGAGCGTAGCATGCATCTCGAAATGACGAATATTCAATACCATCAACAGTTTGTATGTCTTGAAAAGATGTTGGACCACGAACTAAATTTAACAAACATCTAAGATAAAAAAAATCACCCCACTACCTGGTGGGACATAAAACATACGACCAATAGCAAATCCCCATTTTCTTGGATGCCACTCGCGGATATCCGTTTTCCAAACAAAAGCATTAGGCATTTCCCTATAACTCAACGCTCGAGCAGAAGGATACCTCTTATTTGCTTCAAACCATGATAAGAACATGCTATTTCTAACCGTTTGCCTTTCAACAACTGTTTCAACCGAAACCTCATCATTGAAAACAATGCTCTGTTCATTAGGCAAGTGGAAGCTAAGACGTTCAACTGCTGGATTACGAAACTGCACATCATAGCTAAACAAACGCCATGCAGCTTCGCATGGAGAAATATACCGACAATCATAATACATACTGATTTCATCTATAACTTCACTACTTCCTCGGCATTCGGTACTCCTATAAAATTGCACAGTAACTCGATCATGACCTTTGTTCACATATTTAAACAAATATTTGATAGACCGAGATTGGTTACACCATTCTACATTGATGTGTGCTCTATACTTCATCAATAAATATCTATTGTGAGGCACAACAAACCTATTATCCAGTTCAACATCACTCTTAACAATTGTATTACCATTATTTCTACGCTTATAGATGGGATACCCATTAGAATCAAGAATTGAACAATAATCCATAAATTTTTTAGGAAAGTGTTTTGAGCAGTTCCCCTTAACCATACGTGGAGAGTTTTTCCTAGTCACACCACATGGACCATGCATCATAAACTCTCCAACAATTGTATAATACTCAGGATCACTCTCTTTATTAGGAATCTCGGCAGATATAATGGAATCAACATTGGAACCAAATGTAAGAGCAACACCACGATCAATGAACAGAAGAATATGTGCATGTGGCAATCCCCGTTTTTGAAATTCCACGGTATAAATTACTGGAAAGAAATTAATACACATAAGTAAAGCAATCAAAGCGTTGAATTAAAAAATAAAATGTAAACTTAACTTGAAGCACACATACCAGTGACAATTTTCCCAAAGACAGTGCCAGATCGTATCTCTTTAATCAAAGCTTCCAATTTCATTTTAAACACATGGCACAAAATATCAGGCCGATCTTCATATTTCAAGCCTCTACATTGCAAAAAACGTTGAATTTCTGGCCATTTTGGATTGTATGTAAAAGTGATAAAATATTTGGATAACCAATCCAACCACAAATTGCCATTGCATCTTGGTAGTTTTGAACCATATATCGTGCTCCACCAGTAAAAGTTGATGGCAATACAATTCGTCGAGCTTGAGTCCGGGGGTCAACTTCTCCACGTGTCAAAGCATCAAACAATCCTTTATATGAACCACATCGTAGACTCTATTGGTGTGTGCGAATATACAACAACCGAGGAGATTCAACCATCGTATACCCATCGGCCAAAAATTGTTGAAATAACCTTCTGGCATACAAAAATGTTGAGATCTCATCAAGTCTTTCATGAACACGAAAGGATAGGTATTCACGAAGAGAAACAATGTGCCTAGCACCTTTCTCAACACTTCTTTCTACATGGAAAGGAATGTATTCTCTATAACCATCTTCACCATATGGGAACAAAATTGGATATTGAAGTGGAAGATATGCTGGATTAAGTTCATTAATTCTCTTAAGAACACCCGACCGTGTTTCTATCAAAATATCACGTTCACCCAACGTTGGATCCAAATCACCAACAATAACAACAGCAGCCTCAGACACTATTGGAAGTTTATATGTTCTCGCATCTTGGGTGCGTTTCCCAATTAACTTCATTCTAACATCAACTCTTGGATTTGCAAGTATCACTTCTCTAGCCATCCGAAATGACTTTACCAAAACATTATTCTCATCTAATGCTAATTGGATATCAGAGACAATATCTGCATGTAATTCGTTGATCTCATTACCAACCCTACAATAAAGAAAGAATACCAATTAATCACATCACATTACATTCCTATAAATAAAAAAGAAAAAATTAACAATAGCCAGCAACATACCTAACACAATCAAGTCTATTGAAAATCTCATTCTCAGAATCATGGATGAAAAGTTGTGCAAATTTAGGTTTATTACCATCAACAGGTAACAAACTTCCCAACAAATGGAAATTTTGACCATTTAATCTGAAAACGGGAGGTGATTTTCCTGTATTAACATCTTTGTCAATACGACCTCCCATAGATGTGAAGTTAAACATGTTATTGTACGACCTTATATGTTGCAAAAAATGCTTGCTTCTTGCAGATGGATTGAAAAATAATTCAAGAATAGTTTTAGGCGGAACATTCAATTTCGGTAACTTAATTTTGCCATTAGAACAACACCCTGAATATCTTGGAGAAGTAGTAAGCTTCACATTCTTCACTTTCTCATCCCGCCAGAAGATAGTCGAACAATGTTTACAATTAAAAATCGGATCTCCCAGGTCATAATACGGTACTACAATAAAACCAAAACATAAGTCATTACAGAAATCAATTGAATGAAAAAATAAAATTAATAAAGCATAATTTTTAAATCCTTAACAAACAATCTCACCTTGATTAGGAAAACACGAATCTCGAGTAGCCGTAAATAACACATTAAAGTTCACTTGATCTCCTAAAAATTTAAAGAAAAAAAGAAAGATACATAAACATATAAATACCGAAAGTATTAACAACTTTCAGTATTTAAATTATACATATTAGACCACGTAATAGATATAGATAATGGTTTATAATAACACAAACAAAGCAATACCTATCATCATTGCACCCAATTTATCATATTCAATGGTAGAGTAACAATTGACAGTACTTGAGCTGTTTGCAACATCGGACACAACAGGAGATCCGAACTCAACACCCTTGGATTGCATATTATCTGATTTTTTAAGTATTAATACGGATTGAAAATTGAAAATTTTTGTTCAATTTATTAGTAGCATTTAAAAATAAAACACATTATGTTATATATACAGCAATATATATTAAAACAAATTTATTAATTTATTAAATACTTATATATAATATTTATTTGTATAGAATCAAAGAAATTTATACAAATGAAAAAATAACTTTTCGATACCAACAAAATATTATTTTTTTTTTTCATTATTCATAGGCAAATTATTGTGTGGACCATGGTCCACACAATGTTATGTGGACCATAATAAAAAGTACATTTTTAATATATTAAATGTACATTATTTTTGTACTGAATGTACATTATACAATATAATGTACACTCAGAACAAAAATAATGTACATCCCCTGAATAAAATATACATTATTTTTGTATTGAATGTACATTATTTTTATACTGAATGTACACAATTTTACAATAGACAAAATATAGTCCATACAACTTGTGTAGACCATAGTCCATACAATAATGATTGTTATTCATATGATGAGAATTAATGACACTTGTTCCATTAATTATATTAAGTATATTATAAATATGGGCTAACCATAGCCCAACCACAAACTCTAGCCTAATTATAACCCAAATATAAACTCTAGCCTATCAAAGCCCAACCCAAAACCCAAGCCAGAACAAAACACCCTAAACAACTAAATAGTTAGACCATTTTGCCAGAACCCTATCTTCTCGGCTGCGCATATCTTCTCTACACTGTGTCTACTGTTTTTGGAAACTACATCATCCACACATCGCCATTATTGCTTAAGCTATCGCCTCTAGCTCGATGTCATTTTCTAGCCATCTCCATGTTCAAACATCACATTTACAAAACTATGTAGTCCAATCGGAACTACTAACCAGTTACACCCAACAAAACCCTAACACTACCTATTCTTTGTAAATCGATTCTGAAAATTTAACGACATACACATCTATGAACCATTCTTTTTCTATCTCGAATTGCCGTTCTACCAATCTCATTCTCTAACCTATTCTCTATATCTTTTGATGTATTCGATTCACAAATCTAGACTAATTACACCAAAGAAAAGTGTAATCTTGTGTTCAGCGTTTTCAATTCTACGAAACACCACTCAACAGATGAATTGGAACAAATGTTCATATGTTAAATCTAAAAGAAAATCAGCAACCGTGACTACCACATCTATAAGGTAAACATTTATACTTTACTAATTTTGAAGTTAATAATTTATATTTTTTGGTACAAAGACATCTATTATGCAATTTTACCAAAATTAGAAGCATGCATTTTTTTTTTTTTTGTATTTATAAAAATGAAAATACTCAGCTCAATTTGATGAATTTTCGTAAAATCTATGTTCTCTTTAATTTTCTGTTTAATAGCTGCGTTTTTATATTAGATATGTTCTATGCATGAATATTGTTGGAAATTGTGGAAAAATAGTATTAAGATTAGTGTTGTTGTACAATTCAATAATTTAGTTTGAAATTGATTAGTAATACTGAAATTGATTAATTTAGTTTTTTTGAGAGTTCTTTCCACTTCACATGCCATCAAAGGCATAATTTCAGTTTACCGTTCTGCTTAAAAAAAAATGAGTTCATTCCTAAAAAAGTTCAATTTAAATCATATTCACCTGTTATTAAGTAATACTATTTTTAAATCATTGTATCAACAAATTTTATATACAAAACATGTCAACAAACATATTAGTAGTGTTTTGATTTTTTTTAATGACCTCAATAATATTCATTTGCAGGTGTACAGGAAAGTGCTGCATTTACACTCTCTCAATACACTGACAAAAAAAGAAGAGACATAGGGAACCAAATTGGTGCAGATATAGTAAACAAATGGAAAGCAAAGAAGATGAGTATTGCAAACCAAAAATGTAAGTTAACATTTGTTACAATTTTAATGAAGAACAACATGTATGTTTCATTTTTACCTTTGTCTTCAACAACAAGCTTTCTTTTTCCACGAATGATAGTTGAGCTAGTCAATTTTTTCATTATTGTAATTGCTAGCTAAAAACTTTCAGAAGTTCTCTTTTGGAATGAATATATAGTGTACATGTTGCATTCTTAAATGAAGTATATATAGAGATACCAAGTAGTACACATGCTAAGAAGTCTCAATCAAACATTAGTATATAATAGTCAACACTTACCATCCACATTAAATGCTTAGGTATAGGTATAGGTGTATGTGAAAAAGTATTCCTAAATGTATGTCTTGGGTATTGTGTAATTTGTACCATGGCATTGTCAATTTGTTTCTCACTTCTCAAATTGCAGTCCACACTTACCATCCACATTAAATGCTTAGGTATAGGTATAGGTGTATGAGAAAAGTATTCCTACATGTATGTCTTGAGTATTGTGTAATTTGTACCATCGCATTGTCAATTTCTTTCTCACTTCTCAAATTGCTATATGTTGCCATATATATATATATATATATATATATATATATATATATATATATATATATATATATATATATATATATATATATAAAATTTTGTTGCTATAATAGGATTAAATATAATTATTTGCAATATATATATATATATATATATATATATATATATATATATATATATATATATATATGCAATTGATATCCTTTTTCTCAAAAATCAATCTGCTAATCTGCTTTGTCTTTTTTTCCCTTTTTAAAAATGATTTTACCAGGGCCTCTCTGAATTTGTTTGTCATTTCTCAATTTTCAGTATGATGCCACTCTTTTAAAAAAAAAAAAAAAGAAAAAAAAATGTTCCTACATGATGTTTGTGAAATAATAGATTTATTTGCAATACATATGCAAGTCCTTTACCTTAAATATGAGCATGCTAATATATGATATAACTGTTTTTTTTTTGGTATATTAAAGTTTGTTTAATAATAGGTTAATTTGGAATAGATCAGTAATTGAAATACTTTCTATACATATATATGAACAAATACTAACAATCTAAAATCAAAAGCAAGTGATGATAAAGGAGTCTGATGCTTCCTTTTTTTTTTTTAGTTGCTATAATTGAGTTTGTAAAATAAAATATTTATCTGGAATACATGTGCATGGGAGATCCTTTTCTTTAATGATCAGCCTGCTAATCTATTAAATTTTTATTTTTATTTTTGCCCTTTTTGTATATGATTTACCATGGACACTATCAATTTCTTTGTCATTTCTCAAATATTAATCTTTTGATACTTTTTTTTTTTAAATGGGTTCCGATTATTTCACTTAAGGAATAATATATTTCTTTGCAATAAATATGCAAGTAATATGCATTTACTCTAAAATCAACCTCCTAATTTGCTATACCTTTTGTAATTTCTCCCTTTCTTTTTTATCTCATTTACCAGGAAACTATCAGTATGCTGCAATTTTTTTTGGGCTTGCTATAATAGACTTTGTGAAATTATAGATTAATATGATTTAATTTGTTCCTATAATATGCTCTAACTGTTTTTTTCTTTTTTCTTTTTTTAATGATTTGGATTTCTATATTATATATTATACTTTGATTAATAATAGGTTTATTTGTAATATTTGGGTAAGCAATATATACTTATACTTGAATAGAATAAGAACCAAAACACATTAGTGGTTGATTTGCAATTAGAGCAACCAGTCATTACATTTAAAATAGATTAGCAACTGCAACATATGCAGTTTTACACACATTGCCTTCCAAAACACACACTACATACATTGTATTGCTTACCAATACACTGAAACACCTGCAGTGTTCAAAAAACAAACCCATAGGCAAAAACACACTACACACAATCCACTGGCTAACAGTACATTGCAAAAAGCTACAGTTTTCTAGGCATAACCATCAGTTTGGTAGAATTTAGAACACAAAACCCACTTACCAGCTTAGTATTAGTACAACCTATTTCTAAATAAAGAAATTTTCATTACTTTTCCTGCTTCACCACCACCTCCTTAGCACTCGTCTGCTTTGACCCACTGACCCGAACCGTTTGACCCTGGCCGACTATAAAATGAGAACTTGAACGTATCGGGAACCCAGACCTGGGGTATATATCCTACCAAGAATTTTCCCAGGGTTCTCATACTTGCTTTGGACATACAATATACCCCGCTATACACTTCAAATACTATACATACATGGGTCAATACCCCGTATCAAATGGCGCTGTCTGTGGGGACTGCAACAAAAAGTCGTGTCCTCCTAATCTCCAATCCGGTCAACTTAACTAGAGAATCCAGCTTCTACGTTGTGAATTGGCTCCAACTTTGGCTTTGGAATACGCTACTGGCTTTGGACAGCTCAACAGTTCTCCCATAGGCTTGCCAAACGCTACTAATATGAGGAAACGCAGAGTTGTGCTCCCAATCCAAATATCCGATGAATTGATGAAAGTAGAGACCAAATTTTTTGCATGTTTAGCTTTGATGTTCTGTACGTGTGATGTATTGCTGACTGGCTTCGCCGGCGGAAAGATCAGGCCACGAACCATCCTCAAAGCTCCGCCATCATCATCACCTTCTTTGGCAACCCACCAATACGCGTTAAGTATCAATACATATACATAGATATAGTCAAAACCATTTGGAACTGAGGAATACAATATATAGCATTTGAAAACCAAGAGATGAGACAACACTCCATATGACACACTCTCAACAAGAATCAAGACCAACAACTTCAATCAAAGCAATGGAAACCACAACAACAAGCGACAACCACAACTCTAGATGCAACCTACCATTCATAAGGTAGAGTTCATCATAGACATAATCATAAGCAGGAAATACACAATCACATAATGACAAGACACACATTTCAAGTGTCAAGTTCCAACCTTATGGCTACCCCCGACCTTATAACTAGTTCCAACCATTACCTCCAAGTGTCACCCTGTACTTCTGAATCCAACCTTATTCCGCTTGGGACGGTCGTCCCCCACCAATCTCATAGTATTACCACTGATCTCTCAATACACGAGGGTACCATTAAATAACACAATATTACCACCGATCTCGTGAGCAAAGCTCAATAATATTACCACCAATCTCATTCATAGTTACAGATAGTCATTATCAAGAGGATTGAGGCTCATCAATAGCCCAATCAAGTATCAACAAAGGGTACGGTACAACGATTTGTACAAGATCACACCATAAGAATCAACCAAGGGACTTCAATAAAGACATGAATCAATACCCAACAACAATGGACCACAATCCAATACCAAAATGATTGACAACACGAGTTGCCGACCCTCAACAAGAAGGAACAAACCATACATACTAGCCTAACAACATCAAAGCTAGCATGCTCATCAAACGGGTAAACCAAAATGGTTCCAACGAATCTTCAAGACTTATATTAGTCCAACGAATCACAAGGTTGGACCCTTATCACGATTCAAGACTCCAGATCCTAACATAGATTCCTAACACATCGTTCTAGACATACGAAACATCAAGAAGACTCACAAAAGCTCAATAATCCAACAACGGGAGGTCAAAACATCACATACCAAAAAGAAAGAACCATGGGGAAACAATTCCCCGCACTACCAAACACGTTCCCTGCGGGTGGGGTGGCAGGCAGGCCACTGCCTGCCGTTCATCAACAAAGCCAAGTTCAAATCCAAAACACCCAAAACCTCACACACCACAAAGATATGACTTGAACCCAAGAATAGCTCAAAGAAAGGCATTCAAGAACCCTAAATACAAGCTCTAAACATGCATTATCACAAGATCATGCATCAAATCACTCACAACATGAAGAATCATCAAATAGAAGCCAAGTATAAAATAGGGTTTGTAGAGCATGGGTTACCTTTGTAGACCAAAAACCTCTTTCTTCATACACTCTTAAGCCTCTCATTGAAGCTCTTTCTCACCAAAAACTTCTTGCACAACCAAACCACCAACAAAACACCAAAATAAGATAAAGATACCTTAAAGATAACTAAAAATACTAAACAACTTAAGATCTTACCCTTTCCTATGCTAGGGAGGTAGAAAGGTGGAATCTTTGGGTGGAACCTTGCAAGGATAGAGAACCCTTCTTCTAGTTTGGAGAGAAAGCTAAGGTTTCTTTTAGAGAGAAGGTGGAGTGTTTGTCACTTGGCTAACAAGGGAAATGAATGAAATGTCTTGCTAGGGAAAACTTGAGCATCAAACATGTGTGAAAGGTCAACTTTAACGTTACTAAAGTTAGGAAGACAAAAAGGGTTGAGGTACAAAGCATAAGGCAAAAGGTACACTTGGTTGACTAAGGAGGCTAGTCAAATTCTAGTCCCTCGACTATTAAATTTCAGGATTTTTAGAAGGAAATTATCAAAGGAAAATTAGGATTAATTCCTCAATTAATCCCAATTAAGGGTTAGATTTACGGGGTTTCACATCCTCTCCCCCTAACAATAAGCTTCGTCCCCGAAGCTTGGGCACAACGAGATTAACAAAAGGCTAACGATGAACAAAATGTGACAAGAGTAAGAAATGAAAAGGTAAATGAGACTTTAAGCAATAAAGGTGTTCACCAACTAACTGAAGCTAGAGAAACCAAGGATTCAAATTAAGGTGGTAAGATTGATAGACTTAGAAATAAGCTGAAGGTTCACAAAGGTAAGTCAAGAAAGAAAGATAAGGTGATAGATAAAAGATTTACCGGAAGGGAAAACTAATTCTACCTTAAACTCAACTCTCTACCCATTACTAGCCACCGGTCTACACGGAACTAGACGTCTTAGCTAAGGAACAAGCTACAACTAAAACTAACACCAGGATAACTCTTAAGCTGGATTACCCGAGAACGAAGAACAAGGATCACATTTTCAACAGTTCACCGCTGATTTCTCCAACCAAAGGAAGCAAGGTCCTCACAATGCA